AAAAAAAAAAAAAAAAAAAAAAAAAAAAAAAAAAAAAAAAAAAAAAAAAAAAAAAAAACGAGAAAACAGAGATGACCATGACGAGGTGGCCGAGGAGAGAAAAAGACGACGGCTTTACTCTCAGGGATCCTCTAGGAGGGTCGACGTCACGTTTCTCCGCCTTCTCGCGAGAGCTCGCTTGCTCTTCCTCCTTCTTTTTTTTTTGTGTTCCTCCCCCCGTTCGTCCGTCCCAGTATAGACATATACACCGAAGGGCCTTGCTGGGCATGCTTTTTGTCGTATACCTACTAGTAAACTCGTCTTGCTCCTTTTCAACGCACGCGAGTACGTACACTCTTCTCCCAGGTTGAGTGACCACTGACTGTGTACAGGGTGTTTTGTCGTCGTTTCAACGTTTCTTCGTATTCGTACTGCTTCCTTGCTCGATTCTCTCTCGCTGCAGCGGTACACACTCTTCGCTTAATATGGCAACACTCGGGACCTCGCAATGTCTTGGTGGCGGTGTATTATAGTTAACGATCGAGAAATTTTCATTTCCATCGGTAAGACGTTTAGTTGGGACCAATTTTGAGAAAAATACGTAATGATTGTCGCTTTGAAGAAAAATAATTAGAAACCAACTGATCAATAACGTGAGTGTTTTTTTCGTATGTTTTTCAGGACGTTGAAATATCGGAGGGCATGATACCCGAGGACACGATAGAGGTCGAAGTGAAGCATTGCCGGGAGCTGAGGATCCAGGCCGACGCGTTCACGGGGGGTAGCCAGCTGAAGCGCGTCCGAGTCTCGGGAATCGACAGCGTCGTCGCTAATCGGCAGGCTTTCCAGAACATCACGGCCCCCAATCCCCTGCTCGAGGTGGCCAAGTGCAACCAGGTGGTTCTGGAGAGCCACGCCTTCCACAACACCAAGGGTCCGCTCAGCGTGGCCATATCCGAGTGCAGTAACGTCGTCATAAAGCCCAACGCCTTTTTCTGGCTCCTCCAGATCACAGTCAAGGACGTGTCGAACCTCGTGCTCTCCAGCAATTCGTTCAGGTTCGAGTCCCCGCAGCACGGACGGCATGGACCAGCGACAAAGGTTGGAATCTCGTTGCACAACAAATTTGGATGCATGGATTAGGGATTAACACCTACGTTTTTTTTTTTTTTTTTTTTTCAGATAATGTTCCAGAACGTAATGGTTCCGGTGCTGCCAGAGAAGGTGTTCCCCTCGACCGTGGCGGAAATTCGTATGGAAAATTTCTGGACGAGAGCGATAAAGAAGGACGCCTTTTGTGCGATGAACATTCTGAGCGTGATGTTGAAGAACGCGTCCATCGTCGAGATAGAGTCCGGCGCCTTCAGCGACAGGACGCTCATTTCCAGCTTGGAGTTCTTCGACGTCAGGGTGAAAACCGTGCACTCGAGAGCTTTCAGAGCTGGATCTAACAATCTCACCATTCAGTATTCCAGGTAAGCCAGGCAACCATTGTTTTCAAATCCTTTTGGACGAGCAGTCCGATTAACCGTCTCGTTGAACTGACTTTTACAGGCTGTTGGACGTGCAATCTGGCGCTATCGATATCACGGTGGCGAGCGTGACCTTCAACAACAACAAGTTCCACAGACTTCACCGTAACTCGATCGCGTTCCACCAGTGGAACCGCATAGCCATCGATTACAACATCTTCCAGTACTTGGAATCCGAAGCCATGGTCATTCCGATTGTGGACACCGCGAAATCGACCAACCTCGAGTTCTCGTTCACGAGTAACGACATCCACGACGCTGAAACAAAATCCCTGTCTTTCATCGAGACCTCCCAGAGGGTTCCCAATGCACGGGTCAGCAGTAATTACTTCAACAGGACCTGCAACTGCAACCTCCAACCATGGATCCACGAGCGCGTGGGTAGCAACGCCTCGATTTCTTGGATCTTTGACTCGAGCTACTGCATCGTCGACAAGCTGCTCAGGAACTGCTTCGACATGCGCGAAGGTTACCTGGGCATGCGCAACTACACCCAGACAATCTGCACCAAGACGTCCCACACGATAAACTGCATTTACCACACCAACAAGTCCGAGACGGTCACCACTCCACCGAACGTTGGTCCGCACCAGTACCCGAGCCACCGAGGATACTTCGACATAGAGATGAGCGACTTTGAGCAGTTGAAGCGCGAGAAGCTCATCATCATCATCGTGTGCGTCACCGCGGCCATCACCCTCGTGATAGCCGTCTTCACCTACAGCTGTTTGTACATACGTAGACGCGGAGTTTGTCCCAAACTAATCTCTGGCCAACCGAACCTGAACAACTCCTGGTTCTCAGCCACGAACGGCATGACAGCTGCCACCTCGGCTAGATCCATCTCCAGGCTGAGCGTCATCGAGTACGCTGGCCTCCAACCGGAGACGCAAACGCGGATACTCGACATAGAGGCACACCAGGATGCCGTCGAAGAGAACGAAGGCGCAGCCGAGGGTTTCAACGCCTCCTACTCGGAAAACAAGGCCACGCAGACTCTACCCGAGGAACTGACTGCCGACTACTTGAAGGAGCTCAAGGAAAAACTTTACGACCCGGAGAACTACAACCACGCGAGGGCCATGATCGAGCACCTGTACGACTTGATAAACGTCGAGGAGAGCTGCAACAACAACTACGAGAGGAGGATGTCGGCGGACAACGATGCGTACGACGTGATAAGGCCGCGGGTAAAGAGGAGCCGAGCTGAAAGGACGCCGTCTGTGAATGTGGGCACGAAGGCCCCGTCGTTGGAGAAACTGCTTCCCAATCTGGTTCGGCCCAGACCTCAGCTGACGGATTACGCGCAGCCGAGGGACCAGCAGATTATCGACCAGAACCACCTGTACACCGAGCTGCCGGGTGACGAAACGGTGCCGAGCACCAGTAGGCTGCCTCAGCCGGTGCTGGAGACCCTGGCCCACAGAGCCCAGCAGCTTTTGCCACCAGACGTTGTCAATGGCCACATGAACGGGATCTCCAATGGGTTGATTTACGCCGACGAAGATTACGACGACAGAAGGTTACAGGGTGCCGAGAGGCGAGCCAAGTTCTTCGGGGATTCGGGTATGACGATGACAGGTACGAGGAAGGCCGAGGGCAAGAGGCCAAATTTCTCGCAAGGGGAGTTTGCCGATCCGGGAGTGCTGAACGCGCACTTGTACGCCGAGCTGACGGAGCCCAGGCAGCAGATGTCCAGTGCTGCGTCGAACAAAATGGCCAACAGACCACTGCCCACGAAGCCCGACCAGCAGGACGAACAGATAGCCAAAACGTAGCCGTCTTTGCTCGCTTTCCTGATCCCCTCCCCGAGGAGACAGTCATTTTGAGATACCTTGGGATCAACGTTTTTGCACTGCCCCATGCCGAGCGTTTCTGTTTTTTTGAGATTGTTACGGATGATTTGTACAAAGTGTGAAATGTATTTTTTATTTCGAGTTAATAGAAACGCTCGCGCGTGAGATCGGAAATGTCAGTCCGAGGTGTCTTGCAAGAATCAACAACCATTACGCCTATGTCTGTGATATCACATTGTCGACTTGTATATAAATGTCGGCTTCCGAAGATATAATATGTATAATTACTCGATTGTTGTCTTGATTTTGTCATTACGAAATTTCAACCTGTATGGTATTTTTTTTTTTTTTANAAAAAGTAATCGTATAATTAATCTTAGTTGCAAGATATATATATATATATATATATATACAGCCTTATCTCGTCCACTCGGGTCTCGGAGCCGTGCGTGAATGAGCATTTTTTTCACTATACGCTTCTGCTGCCGAAGCTTTTACCGATACCGATATACTCCGGACTCTCTTTTTATGCTTCTTATTTTCTTCGATAAGTGCGTTTTGCCGTTTACGTGTACTCCTTAATGGGTAATCGATTGGATGCCTGTCGGGCGCTTTTACGGCTAACTTCAAATGGGAGCCGTTTTTATCTCTCGATACGTGATTCTATTTTTTTCTCTCTTTCGATTGCATGTATTATCAAAATCACGACAGTCAATTTGTAACTGAAAATGAATAAAAATCACCCGATGAACGACAATAGTTCCTCCGAGGAATAGACTGCGTTTAACGCGAGAGAGGCTCTATGTATATAATAATCGTGAGCTCGTTGTCTGGTGGTGGCGCGGCGCCAACTCCAATTTTTCGCAATCTAGAATCGTTACCGGCTCCACAATGCATGCCCTCCATTTGGCCGGTGTAATAAGTACATGCATCACGTATTCGTCTCTCGTGTATATACATGCACGCTGTTTAATTATTTATTCGCTCGATTGGGCGTTCGATCGGGCCCTGCTTGCATATAATGACGGTACGGTGATGATGATGATGGTGTGTGTCGTTGCAGGCTCATAAGGAAGCTCGGGAAGGAGGTGCGCTTTGCGAGGGACAATTAAGCAATTGTGCAGGATGGATCTTTTTTTTTTGTTTTTGTTTCGTGCATCTACTTAGACACTTTTTTTATATTTCAAGCCCATGTACGGTCGAGGTTGGTGTATTGTTAATGGAAAATGATGGGCTATTGTTTTGAAATCACGGCCGAGGTGATTGGGACGCGACGCGATTGCTTGACGATTACAGGATGGCGACCATGTATTGTGTCCTGTGATTTTGATTATACCTATAAACATTTGCTAACGCTTTTATACAAAATTAGCCGATACAAGTAGTTCAGTCGGTAAAATGTTACGTTTTGCGTCTGAATAAAATTTGGGTTCGGGACACGGAGCTCTTCAGAACAAATAGGGACAGTAATTGTTTCTTATAGCAATTACCCCAATGACTTACGTAAAGAGAGAAATCCGTAGATCTGATATTCGTTACGCGAACAAATAAGGAGACATTTTTTTTTATAATTAATTTTAACCAAAAATTTATCAAAACCTCTCTTTGTTTTTTGTATCCTTTACTGCTTTATCACACTTTGGCTTACGTGATGTTACCGTGTCCATAATGACGTTTCTCGCTGTCAACGTAACTCTGGCAAAAAAAAAAAAATAAATAAAAAATAACGATTCCAACACCGTTAGATCGAATTTTCTTCGTTTCCCCCCGCACGCGTATATACCAACGAATTGAAATCCCTCGAGTTTAGTGCACGCAAGCGCCAACGCATCACGATACGAGCGCATTTGTCGAGATTTAAAACAAGACTTTCTTTTAGCCCACGCAGCGCGTGTTATGTCATCAATGGGAGGCATTGAAACCTCTTTTTAGGTCAATTTGCCACACGGAGTCAGCCGAACCCCAGTGTGTGTCTATGAATATACACGTATATCCACACGCGCGGAGACTCTGTCTTTGATGCTAATTATAATGATGAATCGGCCTAGAAAAACGCCGTCCCATCGGCAGCTCCGATGGACCCTCCTTACGTATACTCTATTAATTGGGTGAAAAGTTACGGCACAGCGAAAGGTGCAGCGTACCCCAATACCGCGCGGACCAAAATCGATCAGCTCGCCAAAGCTGAAGAGAACACCGCGCCGCCGTGTTCGCATTACTATATTATCTTTTTTTTTTTCTCGCAACAACAACACCGGGCCTACATCCACTTTCGCCGTAAAGCGATGGCTCGCGGCCAAAACCTATATGTATATGTATATATATATATATATATATATATATATATATACCTACTAGGGGGAAGAGAGAGAGGCCCTGCTGTTCCGAGGCAGACTGAAATTAAGTGGGCATGCTGCGGCAGCTGCAACTAAGAACCTACAAAGTGCGCGCGTACGGACGTGAGAAACTAACGCTAAGGAGGATATTATGTTGGCGCTTTCGTGTGCGAGAGGTCGCTTATATCCTTTTTCTCCGTAATCGGATAGTTGTTTCGAGATGAAAAAAAAAAAAAAAAAAAAAAAAAAAAAAAAAAAAAAAAAAAAAAA